TCACAGCCTTCTTTGATCATATTTACCAAGGGTATGAATAATTTTGAGCACAACTGTAAATGTTTTACAAAAGAAATGTTAAGCAAATGACAGTAATATCCAGTGATGCATATTTTTTCCTCAAATCTATCAATTTTCAATTGCAATTAATTTACATCGTTTGTGTATTTATACAGAAACAATAAAACTGAATAAAACCATTTTTGCTATATTAGGCATGTGATTAAGAAAGAATGTGTGAATAATAATTTTTTTATTTATTTATTTATTTATTTACTGACTTACAAATAAATAATTGTTTAGAAAAGTGAAAAAAGTGAGCAACCCTGGACTTAATTAATGGAAAAATATGTGAATTAAACTACAATTTAAACTAAACTAAAGTTTAGTAAACAAAACTACATTTTAAAAAAGTAAAATAAAAATAATACAATAAAATAAGAATAATATGTAAAATAAAAAAATAAAAAAATAATAAAATAAAAATAATTTAATGTAAAATTTGTAAAACAAAATAAAAAATTAAAGACGAATTAATAATAAAATGTAAAAGTTACAAAAAATTAATTAAAATAATACTTAATAAAATGTAAAAAGAAATGTAAAAAAGTAAAATAATATTAATATACATAATAAAATATGTAAAAAATACAACAAAATAAAATAGAAATAATAAAATGTAAACATTTTTAGAACAAAATGATTAAAAGCAATACATTAAAATAATACTTAAATATATAAAATGTAAAAAAAAATAAGAATAAAATGTACAGCTAAATAAAATGTAAAAATAAATGAAAAATGTAAATGTATTAAAATAAAACAATAATAAAAAGTAAAATAAAATGTGTAAAAAATAATAAAAATAAATAAAAATAAAAATGTATAATAATAAAAAAAAAAAATTTTTTTTAAATAAACAACAATTAGGTAAAATAAGCAGAAACATTCAAATGAGTGATTTAATTATTTACCCATAGCCAGATCTTGGACTCCATTCTCCAGGTAGCCATCAAAAGCAAACTGTTCTCTGAGCAGCTCAATGACGTGCTGCAGACACAAGCATCTCTGAGGTGAGCTGAGATTCATACAATGAGGCTGAACTGTAATATCTGCCACTGGACTTTCAGGAGACACTGCCGAGTCTCTGCGGGTCACACAGACGCTTTCATTCCTCATACTGTCCTCTGAAGGTTTCGGTGGCTTCTTGTTTAGTGGTTCTGAGCTGAAGTGATCCGCGCCTGTGATTGGCTGAAGCACGGTGATCTGAACAGGAAGTAGGGTCAGACATCCTGTCTGCGGGTCTTGCTGTAGCAGGAAGTTGTTACAAATCCCATTAGCACAAGACAAGGCGGGGAAGTTTGGCTGGTCGTCTTTTTCTTGATTGGTTATTTGAAGAGTTTCTGAAGGCGAGGAATTCACAAGAGTCTTACAGCTGGATGATGATGAATAACCAGCAGAGAAAACATCATCCTCAGCGGCGCTTTCTTCCTGTTCATCTGGCTCTCGCAGGATCGTTTCCTTCACGATGTCCTCAACAGAGCGTCCACTGACAATCCTTAAAAATAATAATAATAATAAAAAACAAGAACATTAGAACTTAAACCTGAGTTCAAGTTTTAAAGTCAACTTCAGAGCTCCAGATCAGAGTTTTTATCGTTAACTAAAACCCATTGAAACATTTTTGTTAATTGAAATAAAGCTTAAATAAAATAATATTATATTATATAATAATAATGAATATAAATATTAGATGGAAAAAACTGCTCAGTTAGTTGTCACAGCAACATTTAAGCCGAAGATCTGTGAATTTATAACAAAAATCATAATTAAACGTTAAGCTGGAAGTGTTTTTTTTTAATCACAGGTGAGCAAACTAAACTAAACTAAAACAATAACTAAAATAATACAATGTAATGTTTTTAATAGGTAACCAAATAAATTTAAATAATACTTGAAAAAAATAACATTTAAAAAATGTAAATAAAATAAAATAAAAAAATAATAAAATGTAAAATAAAAATGAAAAAAAAATAAATAAAAAAAAAATAAATAAAACAACATACAATAAAATAAATTAAAATAATACTTAAACATAATAAAATGTAAAAAAACTCAAAGAAATAAAATTAAAATAATAAAATGTAAAATAAAAATATCCTTAAATCCTTAAAAATAATTAAAACAAGAACATTAGGGATCCAGATCAAGGTTATTGTCGTTAACTAAAACTAAAAGTAATAATTAAAAATAAAATAAAATAATAAATATGAAATGAAAAACTTATTTCAGTTAGTTGCCAAGGCAACATTTCTAATTTTTGTTTAGTTTAAGTTTAAGCACTAAAATTACTAACTGGAATTAAAATAAATAAAAACTAAAACTGAAATAAATTTTTTTATTAAACTTAAATAATAATAATAAAACCCACATAACATAATTATTAAAATGTAACTAAAATTAATAAATTAAATATTAATTAAGAAATAAAATATTAATAAAATCTATAATAGGGTATGAATTACTACTAAAATAAAATTAAATGAATTATTACTAAAATACACATTGGCCAAGATACATAACAGACTTTATGAAACACAATCTCCTTTGACAAAACACTCAAACGTAATCCATCTCAAAGGGTTGGGGAATCTGATCATTCCTGGTTTGCAAAAATGCACTGATTCAAAGAATTAGTAACCTGGTTAATGCACAGCAACAGCATTCATGTCATGAATCAGCATCTCATGAACACAAGTTTGGCTAATAACAAAGGCCTTGATTCAATAAACATTCACTGATGACTCAATTACATTCAACATGATGCATTCTGGGATTTCCTAGAATCAGTGAGTTGTTCTTTGCAGACCTACAGCTCAGACTGCGGGTGATGAGTCAGTATTATGGGGCTGAAGTGTGTGGCAGGAGAAGTGAAGGCCTCGGGCAGTCTGACGCTGGTGGAGGATTCTGGGTAATGATGAGGAACTGGACCAGCTACAGGCTCCAACCGGCCCTCGCTGGCCAACGGGACAAAACCTGAGAGAAAGACAACACGAACACACCTGCAGATTAACACCAAACACATGTGAAGGACAATAATATACAGGCAACATACAATTATTACACAACAGGGTGGATCTCATGAAAGATATGTGCAGATCACATTTCACCCGCAAATAAGAAATGATATTTTACATAATGAAAATGGCATTATTTTAGTAGCAAAAGCACATTTCCCCTCAAAAAACTCATTACATTAATGTGGTCCGATGTTTTACTTTTGAGTATATATACATATACATTATATACTGTATATATATATTTGGGCTGCACGATTATGACAAAAATCAGAATTGCCGATTATTCCCTTGAAATTGTAATTGCGATTATTAATTACGATTATCACAATTTACATTCAATGATGTGTATACCATTGTTTGAAGCAACTGCATGCCATATTTTTAGATGAAAATAAACAAGCTGAATACACTCTAACTGAAAAACTTTTATTGCTTTTATATAGTATTAAGCCACAAATGTCAACTATCCATCGGATTGGTTTCTTCTTTAAATAAAAAAAGTAATAATATGCATGGTATTATAATGTTATACTAAAACTAAAATGAAAACGATGGAAAAACCCTTAAGATAACCTGAAGAAAGAAAAAAAACAACTCTTAAGCACGCAGAATAACATAAGTGGACTTTTAATTGCTGCAATTAATTGATTAATTGCTGCTTTGGACGATTATGTAATTGTGGCATCCGTAATTGTAATCGCGATTAGAAAATCAATTAATTGTGCAGCCCTAATATATATGTACATATAAATACACACACACACACAATATATATATATATATATATACATAAGACAATTCAAAACAAAGGTAAAATTTATGTGAAAACACTGTAATTATTCAGTTCTTTAGTTTATTTCTCTTAGAGTGAGCTCCCCTGGACTTAATTAATGGGAAAATCAGTGAATTGGACAAAAATCATACAATTAAAGGTTGAGCTGGGGGTGTTTTTTTTTTTTAACAGGCAAGTAAACTAAACTAATAATAATAAATGTGGAAAAAATACAATAAAAATAACAAAATATAACATTTGTAAAAAAAACTTTTCAATAAATTAATACATTATTAATTAATTAATAAACACGTAAAAATGTAAATATATTAAAATAAAATAATAAATTGTAAAACAACTGAATTAAAATAATACTTAAAATGATAAAATGTAAGTACAAATAATACAATAAAATAATATACAATGTAAAATAAAATGTGTAAAACAAAACAAAATCACACACACATTTATATATACTGTATATATACATACATACATACATACATACAAATTACAATAAGTCATTTGAGTGGGTAAAATGAGCTTAATTGATGAAAATAATGGGAAAAAAGGCTCTCTTTATGCACAAAAAATTACTACTTCTTTCTTTTGATTTTAGGGTGAAATATGACCAGAATCTATTCTAGACAGGTTTTGTGAGAGTTTAGCTATTTAATCTGAAATGTTGAAAATGCAAATTCGCACCTGTTTTAACTTCTCCCAAGTGTGGGTCAGATGGGTTTTCAGCACACTCAGGAGAAGACCAATCCTCTGTATCTCTATTCCCATCGAATGCCTTCAATGAAAACCGTACTTGTTATGAGAAACTTGTTGACTGAAGTTCATGCATTAAGACAGGAAAGAGTTACAGAAGAGCGTTTGGATTAAGAACTGCTACGCTGATGGAATTTATTCTTCATTTGTTTCTATTTTTATTTTAATAGAAACATCTGAGGCAAAGTTGATACTTAAGGCAAGACACTGTGTTTTTCATGCACTGGTACATTTTGAGGTTTTTGGTTATTTGGCTTTTCATAATGTTTTTTTCAGACTAGTGGAAAGAAAACATGCAAAATTTACTTTTATGTATTTATTTTATTGGACTTTATTTGCGTCTGAAGATTTCAATTACAATGCATATCCTTCAAGGCAGTTTTCTCAAAATGAGTTTTTTCTCAACTTCAGTAACACTTACATACAATAAACTTTACAGTTTTTTTCCTATCTATATTCTGAAGGTTTTTATAGAAGGGTTTGTTTATATATCATTCACACTGATTTTATTGCTGTACTTTATCTATTTGCGTCTTTAGATTTAAACTACAATACATATCTTTAAATGCTGCGAGTTTTATCTCCACTTCAGCAGGACTTACATACACCAAACTTTACAGTTTTATTCCTATCTAAATTCTGAAGGTTTTTATAGAAGGGTTTTTTCATATATTATTCACCTGGTTTATTATTGCACTTTTTATATTTACGTCTGTATATTTTAATTACAATACATATCTTTCAAGGCCTTTTTCTCAAAATGAGTTTTTTCTCCACTTCAGTAACACTTACATACACCAAACTTTACAGTTTTATTCCCAACTATATTGTGAGTGCTTTTACTGATGGGTTTGCTCATATCACATTGACACAGCATTTATTATTGTATTTTATCTATTTACATCTGTAGATTTCAAATACAACATTTATTTTCAAGCGCAATTTTCTTAAAACAAGTTTTTTTCTCCACTCCAGTAACACTTACATACACCAAATTTTACAGTTTTATTCCTATCTATATTCTGAAGGTTTTTATAGAGGGGTTTGTTCATGTATCATTCAATTGACTTATTATTGCACTTTACGTCTGTATATTTCAATTACAATTCATATGTTTAAAGAGTTTCTTTCTCCACTCCAGAAACACTTACATACACTAAATTTTACAGTTTTATTCCTATCTATATTCTAAAGGTTTTTACTGAGGGGTTTATTCATATTCATCTGATGTTCTGTAACATTTTATTCACAAAAACATGGTAAAGTGTATTTTTCTGGCTGTTGACAGCAATTTCTGATTTCCAAAATCCTCTCTGTAAAAACATTTAATATGTCAACAAAACCAAACAAGAATTTTAAACCTGAATGTTCGGATTTCTGTTCTGGAAATGTATGCAAATTAATGCATATTTAATTATTTAGTGCCTCGTTTGCATATTTAAACATAAAATTTCAGAAAACTTGTAATACAAAAAAAGTTTGCAATTCCTAATGCAATTAATCAACTGGGGAAGTATGATGATAAATATTAGTTTTATTTTTTACCCTATTGCCCTGGGGTGTTTTGCCTTAAACACAACAGAGTCTCCAGAGCTGAAAGATCAACCTCTGAGCAAAAACATTCCTGAGGGAACTCTCATGACAAAATCAGTCTATGACTATTTGATAACCGAAGGCAGATATGATGTTTCTGTGCCAGACAGTCGGAGGCGGGTGAAACACACAGACACTCTATAAAACCGAAAAGACAAGATCACAGGACTGATGAAACCCTGCCCACGCCTGACTCCATCAGATCTGCATCTGCACAGATCCTCCGGATGAACGAAGTGTGACGCTTCACCTGGTGAACTCGGCTGATGATCTGCGTCCATACGCTCTCGGCATTCGTTCCCTGGCGGGAGAGGTAGTCACGGCAAGACTGGAATATAAGAGCAGACATAAAGCACATTAGCACAGGTAAACAGCCTGGATGCACAACGGTGCCATGTGTTATGAGAGAGAACAGAGCATGTGTTTGGATGAAAAAACAAGAAATGCTTGCACTGCATAAAGAAAATCTTAATGAGTCTTAATGATCATAAAGTCTATTTTATGACCATTAACACTCTAATTACTTTGTGACTTTAATCTCAGAACAATTACAGTAAATTCTGCCCCAAATTCGCATTATGGTAATGCAAAACATATAATTTTTATTACTTTATTTCAGTAATTAAAATAATCCTTTCTGGACAAAATGCTTATAAAAATATATAAAAATGGCCTTTTTTTCCTCAAATTTTTAAAACAATATATATGTATATAGTTGCTGTAAAATAGCCATTATTTTTCTTTATAATAAATATAATTATGCATACACACACACACACACACACACACATATATATATATATATATATATA